GAACCACATCTGGATTTGAAAATTCATTTTGTAAGAGTTGCAGTGTAGCTGTATATGCTTATTTGTCACTGAAAGCAAGTGTTGCATACAGAAAGCTGTAATTCACTGTTTATAAAACAGAGATTTGTACAGATGATGAATTAATTCAAGGATACTGAAAAAGCTGAATATAGTCACATAGTACCATTGAATGTCTCTGGTTGTTTTTTCAGAGTGGAAGGTAGCAGTAAGATCTCAGCCCGAATAGAGCAACAGTCTGCCCGAGCATCTCAGCCTCCTTCACAGTTCAGAGCCCTAACCAAACCAGCAGTTGGACCTAAAACTTCTCCTTTGAAAGATAATCCCTCACCTGAGCCTCAGCTGGATGACATAAAGAGAGGTAAAGAAGGGTTTGTAGTTTCCTGAGTTTTGGTTGGTTTTGTTTTTCTTCTTTATAATAAAAACTATAACTCTGCAATTTATAAAAACATTAGAATGTTCAGGGATTAAAAGATGTTACTTGACAGCTGGTTTGTCATCTTTATGTCTCATTTTAAGGCATCTTAGTGAATTATTTATACTGTTCTGCTGGCATAGATATTTATACTGCAGTCTTCTCTGGCATGAGAGAACTTCCTCTTTCTGGATCATTTTCTCTCTTCCAGGCTATTCCTCTCTTCCTAGAAGAAGATAAAATAAGCGTAAATTCAGAAACCTGTAGCTGAGTGCTAGACGAGTTGAATGAGTGTCTTAGGCAACAACAACAACTAAAGCCAAGATCTAGCTATGCAGTCGAGTAACTTGGACGAAAATTATTCCTACAGTGAGTAAGTTTGGAGCCATTTGCCAATGGGATGGAAGGGCTGGGTAGCTATGTTCACATCACAAGACCTGGAGATTGTGGCATGCTAAGAAATGCTAATAGGGGAGGGATGAGAAAGTGAAGAACCCTGCAGCTTCCCCTTTACCGCAGCCACTGCTCTGCAGCTTTGGTCACATCTGCCATATAGTTGCTCTACTTCTGTTAAGGTACTTGGAAGAGATGATGGCTCAACTCGATCTCATGCCCCAGCAACACTTTGTCTCAGTGTTTCACTGTGGGCAGGGCATACTTTCTTTGCCCATGTCCTTCCTTTCATACTGGTGTAATACCTGATTTTGCTGTGGATTACACAGTCAGAATGAGGGAGATTTTTAATTTCAGTTTGTATTTGGGTCTCTTGTGTTTGTCTGGTATCAGATGCAATTATTTTATTTTAAGATTGTTCTTTCTGTCAAGGTTTGTTGGGTTTTTTCTGGGTCTCTCTTTCTTTCTCTTTTTTCCTCTGTCCCATATAGCTACTTTTTTCCTGTAGACTTAGCCTGTGTTAATTGCCCAGACTATGTTAATGACTTAACAGGCTATTTTTTTCAATTCATGGTAATCACTACGGGACATCTTTACTGCTAAGCTATCTATGTGTTTGCGTAAGTGCTGACTGGTCTCACTCTTTCACAGCAGTAGTATTATCAATACCTGGATGCTGGTCAGCAGACAGAATCAACATCTGAGAGTCTGTTAGCTACAGTTCCCTTAGCTGCATTGCCATTTTTATTTTCTGTGTAATAGGTAAGGAGAAAGATAACACATGCTATATCAATTTAAATATTGAATTAGTTGTGAATTTTAAATGTGGTTTGTTGTTTGTTGATGGGGTTTTTTTCTTGTAATAAGTTACTTAACCATTGGGGCACTCTTTTGTACACATACAGCAATTTGTAAACATCATGCTGTAGTAGAGTGATTACATTTGTCTGGTGTCACATCTGTTCTGCAATGACCATTTTTTAGTGGTCTGAAATGTGTCATATTGTTTAGAACTGTCCCAGTATTTATTTATTTTTTTTGCCACCTGATCATCTTTATTGGAAAGTACCTCCAAATAAATAACCTGTAGAGTTCTGTTTCCAAACTCAAGCAAAAGAACACCTGACTTGTACTAAAAATAGGACTTCAAGCTGGTGTTTTATAGGGAGAGTTGTTCAAGGCCCCAGAAGAACACAAATACTCGAGCAGGGGTTTCTTTGCTTATCATGCATACTCTTTATAACTTTCTTCTAGCATTGATTATCTAGAATGTTAACATTACTAAACCATGTATATCATAAGAACCTACTTTGGAAAGGTAGTACTAAAATGACACCATTCTGCAATGAAAATAATTAATAAAACTTAACTGTAGAAGCTGTGAGGTAATCTTCAGCCCTGTCTTTTTTATGAACAAAGACTTGTAAGTTCTAAAGAGACTGTTTTTTCCATTCAAGCAGTAGGGTAAAGTACCTCCTATGTATGAAAGAAAGATAATGCTGAAGTCCTGTGGGTTTTTTTTGTAATGGACACAGCACGGAACTTACAATCCCCAAAGGAGATGGTTGAAAGGATTTCTGGTGCTGTGGTACTCTCTTGCTCCCAGTGTACCCTACTTAAGAGTGTGGTAAGACACACAGTCTTCATGATGTTCAGTAATAGTTTTAAGGTACCCTCCAGCTGCTCCCCTTACCAGCCATTCCCATAGCTCCCCTTACAGAGGAGCTGGGAAATGAACTTTCAGGTAGGTCAGTTCTCTGTCCCATTACACAGCTGTTCAAACAGCAATGGTCAAGGACAGAGGCAGAGCATGTAGGAGCTGAACCAGTCATTTCCTTCATGCAGAAAAGCCTTTGGGAGGGCTTCCTTGTCTAGGGTCCTGCACCAGAGGAATCTTTTCCCCTACAAGTCTTTATATTGCCCTCCTGCCTGAAGGGAGCAAAAGAGAGGGTAAGAGCTTTTTCTGTTTGAAAACTTCACTACATTTGATGACATTTCATTAAGCAGTGAACATTTGCACACATATACTACAATGCAACCATTTATGTGCCTGAAATAATCAGCTTTTAGGAGACATATTTGATCATGGCAAAAATGTTTTCAATAACATTGACATAATTACAGCATATTGGACTTGGGAAGAAAGTGGAGGTGGGAAAAAAAGAGGGGAAAATAAAACCCACAGAAACATTTCTGGTTTTGGGGACTGTAAATTCAGTGCTTAAATATCTGAGCAGATCTTGTTTACCTAAATGCAGCTGTAGTTGGTAGGGATTATGCCTTAGCACTGTGTTTGTCTCTTAAGGACATCTCGGTCACACTTTGTGCACCTCAGTTGCCTCTTCTAGCTGTCATCTCCACATGCATGAAGTGCCAGTATTAAGTTGATTTCTCTCCACCTTGCATACCAGTATTAACAGTAAGCATTCTGCTATAGGCATACAACCTTATTCTCCCAAAAGCTGAATGACTTTGTTTTCAAAAGTCCTTGGTGTTCTTGCAGCCCAAGGTTAGAGCTTTAGTTAAAAATTCTACAGAGCCTATTGGAATTGAGAAGCTATTACTGGTTCTTAAGTAGTAAGAACACTTAGAAATGATTATGGAAATAAATTAGGGCATTCGATACTGAATATATACAGAAGATGTTCCTGTTGAGAAAGGCTCTTCTGTTTGTGTAATGATTTCTGACCTTGAATTCTTTTACTCTAAAAACTGCATTGACTGCCAGTGTAAAACAGTAAGCCCTTTTGTTTTCTTCAAAGAAAGCCTATAGTTGTAGCATGAAATGTGCAAAAGTTAAGGTTCCCCTAACAGTGCCAGTCTTTTCAGATGGTACAGACTCAATTAAGGCAAGTGTTCAAAACTCTACTGTATGAAAAGCTTTTGTAAAAGTAACTGCTGCACATCCTAACTCTTGTCATCTTTTAAACCTTTAAGGCACATTGACATGAGGCATTTGCATTTTATGGCGCAAAAAGATCTAGGAAAGGCCTAACTCTTGTTGTTCAGCTTGGCATATATGTACACATACACAAACACAACTATTTTAATTGGAGGTACTGCAAGGAAATGTTTAGCCAGGGCTTCAGTACCTGTAACTGCACTAAGTATAACAGGCAAATAGGAAAATGCAAAATCAGTTTTAAAACACATGTAGTTTTTCTGTAGTGCTTTGGTGTCATCACTGGCTTAGCTACCATCTTTGACAGCGTGACACAAGAGGGTTTTGAACAGACTTCCTTAGTGATCCCGCTGGACTTCTGCCTATCAGATTTGTAGCAATACAGCAGCCACCATAACATCAGTGAAAATCATTACTTTTTTCTCATCTACACAGACGAGATATTTAGAATTCTGGGCTCAAGTAATTAAGAGACGAGAGAGACCTGAAAGGAAGCTGGCAGCCTGTGAGGCAAAAGTTGGCTTGAAGATGGGCTTGGACCAAGTTTCCACCAGTGACCACTGTCACTAATAACGCCCTTAACTTCCTAGTCCTTGAAGCTTGTGACACTGGTGCTGTTTTGCTTTTCCTGCCTGTATTCAGCATAGTAAGCCATACCACTTCTTCAAAGCATTCTCCCTTTCCCCCCCCTCAAACCAGCCTCTTTCATGGGCTCTTAGTTTTCTGCAGAAACCCCTTACTTTTCAGTCTGACACTAATCTCTAGCTCTGTTTAAAATTAGCTAGGCTAATCTTCTTTCCCATTCATCAGACCATTGCTTACTTCTTTCATTTATCTTCTTGTTACTGTATTGAGTTCAAACTTCTTGTTTAGATTTCTTTCCTAGTTCTCTGGAGTGCATTTCTTGTTGCATCTTTTCCCTTTCACCACCAATGGCTCTTATATTGCTTCACCTTCTTCACACTATTTTATATGATGCTTTCTGGGCTGCTGTGTTCTCAGCCCATGTGCCAACACTCCTCCATTTCAGCCACAGACTAGCTCTATAAGCATTACTTCTCAGATGTTTGTCCTGTATTAGACTTGTTTACCGAATCATTCTGCAATAGGAACGGTGGTCTGTATGTGATTGCGCTTGCTAGAATCCAGGATATTTCGAATAATATATTACTAACATCACTATAACTTACAACTATTAACTCCATCACTAGAAGTGCATGGAAATTTTACGTCATTAAGCTAGGGAAAAGAGTTTTAAATCTGGACATTTTGAGGTGAAAGAACTCTTATTCCTGTTTACCTTTTTAGCTTTCCCCTATGAATTTCTTATCCTTAAACACTGGGAACATTTGAATTTGAAGTCCTTGATATGGGTATGCTTATCCTACCCATAATAGAATAGTGACTTACAAGTGCTCGTTTGCCTGTCAAGGAGTCAAGGCATGAAATGGATTTTTAAAGCCTGCACCACTGTGTTGGAAGGGTAAAAGTATTATCTTCTGCTGGCCTAATCATGTATTCTTCCTTCCTCTTCCAGTGGTCTTTTCAATTATTGTCTTCACGATGAAAGACTAATTTTTAAGTGCCATACTAATAAAGTACAGAGAGTACATGCAGTCTAGCCAGGGATCTAGAGTTAGGAAGAAATTTAGAGGGAGCCCCACTATCCTTAATACCCAGCTACAGCTAGTCATATGGTTGTTCCTTTCAATATGCCTTCCTTGCTTCTGATTCAGTAGAACTACAGCATTTGAAATAGAGCTTTGAACTTAGAAATTGAAAAATAGTGGGTTTAAAACTGGCAAAACAAACCTTAATTTCTCAAACCAGTACATGCTGAGCTACAGGAACTCTCTCCAGCAGATAATGTGGAGGCTGAAAACTTAGCTGTTACTCTATAGTGTTAAGCAGCTCAAGGAAAATGTGCCTTATTAAAAAAGGGGAGAGTTCTGGTTGCTCAGACTTACTCCTGCAAGGGCAGGAGATAAGAAGCATTAAAACTGTGCCATTTTTACATAAAGGAAAGACTCATTTTATGTGATCTGGCTATGCCATACACAAGAAAGATGTCCCAGGCTGGGAAGCTGGGGTTCATGTTGCTTTGAAACACATCTGGCCTAAGGTGAATTACTTCAGGCATCAGTTCTCCATTTGTCAGGTAGAGATGATAATATCTCATCTTTCTCTTCTTTCATTCTTGTCCCTTTAGCCTGTGGCTTCTCCAAGACAAGTGCTGAATTTTAACTTTGTGAGTGTGGAACTACTAGCACAAGAAAAGCTTGTATTTTGAGGGTTTCACATCCTATGCTTAACATATGTGTTCTCTTATGGAAACCTGCCTAGGTGAACTGAGTCATTAGATACTTGACTTCAGGTGGGTACAAAAGAATTGTTCTCTAACAGTGTTTAGGCCACTTAACGTTATTGCAAATTTTAACAATATGGTATGATTTGCAGTGAGTTACCTTAATAGCTGTTTAGTAACCAGTTGTTCAGCCAAAACTAGCTATTGCTAATGCAGCTGTCATGGTGCTGTCATGGTATTCAAGTGTTTCTTTGCACTGGAAACTGTGAGTGGGGTGTGTCTGGCTTGAATAGCTTCCCAGTTTCAGAGTAGTCTCTGTATTTCCCTGGCTACTTGTAAGCTCTCTAGCAGGTTAAGGTATTATTGCCACTCCCTGACATGTGAATATTCTCATCTGCCCCACTGCAAAGTTAATCAGATGTCATCCATCTGCTTCTGAAGTTTGTTTAAAATGAGATGTGTGACTTTGCTCTGGAGCAATTTCATACGTATCTGAAGTCAGGGCAGTATTTGTTGTGATCATGTGCCTCTGTCTATCCCTACCCACTTTTTGTGTTTTCCAAAAGCCTAGACACCACTAATACCTAACAATTTAGATTCTTCCACCTTAAAATGCTTTTTAAAAATGGGCTGGCTGTTGACCTGTAAAACTCAATCAGAAAATGTACTTACTATGTATGTAGAGCATATAACCCATCAGAAACAAAAGAGGCAGGAAGTGCTTTCAGGAGTGTAAAGCATATAAATAATAATAGTGGAAGTGAAGGTTTTATGATACTGACCTGTGCTGTTGCTTCTTTACATTTAGCTACAATAACTAAGTAAAAAAGTATTGGGAGTTTTGTTTTTCCTTCTTCTCTTTCATGTGAGATATTTTGATGTGGTAAATTACACTTGACAAAACTATTGCATTTTCCAAAATTCCATGGGGCACTATTTATGGTTTCAACCAGATGAATGTCCTTTTATTTCAGAGCTGAGAGCAGAAGTTGAAATTATTGAGCAGATGAGCAGCAGCAGTGGAAGCAGCTCTTCGGATTCAGAAAGCTCAGCTGGGAGTGAAGATGAAAGCTCCAGCAGTGAGGGGGAAGAGCCAGCACATGTTTCCCCTTCCCAGCCACCGCACCAGCAATATAGCAACAGGAATGCTATTGCTAATGGCACCAGCAGGTCACAAGGAAGCAATCAGCTCATGAACACGCTCCGTAAGTAAAGGCTTGTGTCTTATTACTGTGGGAAGCTGCTTGAGAGCACTCATTTTCTTAGCATGTTAGGCTAACTCCATGAAGTGCAGTTTGGCAGATAGGAATCCCAGGGAGTTGCACTGGCTGAAATATGTGGGCAGCTTTTCTGAACAGAAGGCCAAGACCTGTTTGAAGGGGTGGAGATAGCTTCAGTTTGGTCTAAAGTCTGTGGGCATCAGTGCAATGGCCCCTATTGACCATGCTGACCCTTGGTTCAGGCATCCAGGAGGAATGAGTGGGTAGAAAACTCATCATTGTGGGAGGATCTCGTGCACCAGAGAATGGGAATTACTTCAATGTGAAACCACAGATTAGACATAAATAGTGGGATTGGCACATATGTCAGTTAAAGGTCTGTAGAGAATCATGAATGGCACAAGGCTGTCCTGTGGTCATAAATGCACAGTCTCTGTGGTCTTCATTATTAGCTGCCTTGCTTTGTCTGAGTGTTAACTTTATACTGCCTGTGTTGGTCTCAGCTGCATTTTCACAAATACCACATTTTGAAGGGAAATTTAAAGTGACAGGTATTTGGTTAAAATATTTCATCTGTGGTGTTTGCAAGCAATGAATCAATACAAACTCACCTCCACCCTTTAAAATGTGTAAAAAACGTTTTTGAAACATAGTTTTGTCCCATGAAACTCTTTCAGGGGAGATGGTTTACATCTCTGTTGCTCTTTCCTTATGCTGGATCAGGTAGATTTTTAACTTAGTGGAGTTAAAATACTGTATTTACAAAAAACTAGAACTTAGCTATCATAAATAGCTCTTAATTCCGGCTGAGGCATATTTGCCTACATCTCTGGGCATCCATACAAAGGAAACTGGTGGAGCTTAAGTACAGATAAACGTAGGGTTTCCAGCCTCAAGAAGACAAGTATGTTATACAGACAATGCTGCAAAGCCCTGCTGTGAAACTGGAGAGGCCTGTTGGTCTTCCTGTCAGTAATGAATATCTAAGTGAAATCCAAAGTTCGACAAAGTCATTAGGACTCTCCATTTGCCTGTTTCTGCTTGCGAGCTGCCTCTTCCCTGCTTCTCCTGGGCCATGACAACAATACTGCAGAGGTTATTGAACGTCAAGAAGCCTCTGACTCCAGGAGAATTTGGGAGCTGGTCAAAACAAAACAACTGCTCCTTTTTTCAGACAGTGATAATCAGTCTTTGGATTTCGGATCCTTTTGCCAAGGATTAATATGTCCTTGAGCATTCAAATCACTGGTGACCATCTACATGTGTACGTGGAACCCACGTTCTTTCTTAATAAAAGGGGACAGGAGATGAAGAAATCGAGGGCATAGCCATTGAATAGCTGCTCAGCAGCTGTTTGGGGCAGCACAGTGAGAGAATGCTGGAAGAGCTGGGTTTAGTTACTAGAACACAAGCATGATTCTGCCTCCTTTTATCCCCTCCATCTCACCAAATCACAAGTGTTCTGCAAAACAAGGTCTGAGGCTGTAGGTTTGATCCATATCCTGGCTGCCTTTTGTCTGATCTCTCTTTGCACTTTGGAGGGGGGGCCCTTGCCATCACAGCATGTGTCAGCTTAGTTCAGCTGATAGTCTCGAGCTGTGATGGCTTTAACATTCCTTTTGGTTTATTGACATATGGGGGCCTTGCCTTGGCTACCCAAATGGTCTTAAAACAAAAAATCTATTTTAAAAGGGCTGAGAAAGCCAGGGAATTCCGTAATGCCTTGTCCCAGCAACTCCATGCACAGGAGTTTGGCTGGTAGAGGCTGTGGAATGCCTTCCACACCTGCTAGCGTGGGGAGTGCTATTCTCCCACCAGTGAGCAGCTTTGGTGGCTGTTGAGCCAAGGACACTCCATCTGGCCTGGATCCCACCATGTATTAGCCCCATGAAGCTCTTAATGTTCTTGGGCGTGGAGTTCCATTAAATGACAGATGATGTTTGCGTTCATTTATCATGTTGATATTATTTAAATCTTCACGTATAAATGTGACTGTCCTTTGGTTTGATTGCTGTGAAATGTGAATTAACACCTACTCACTTGTTGTGTTTTGTTGGGTTTTGTTTTCCATAGGAAATGACTTGCAGTTGAGTGAGTCTGGAAGCGACAGTGATGACTAGAGGCTGAGCTTTTGCTGTTTCTGTTACATACACATGAAGAACTAATTTACCTTGAAGCGACCGTTGCCTATGAAGAGGAGCTGGCACAGAGGTAGTTCCATGTGTGGAATTCTAATAGAAGAAATGCATAGCCCTGCAAAATAGCAGATGTCAAGGGCTGTTTTACTTTGTGAATTAAGTGTATATTTTATGTATATTCTTATTATTTTAAAGCTTTAAATAGATATGTACAGTGAGTAAGCAAATATATGTTCCTATATTCCTGTCCATCATCTGTCAGTTTAATGTGTAACTATATGATGTCCTCCAAAAATACCTTGTTTGTAGAAGATATTCAGCCCATCATTACTTTGGGGGGAGACTTTTGTATATAGGATGAGCATGAGCCAACAATGAGCTTAAAAAACCATGCAGGAGCTAATGTGTGCACTGAAGTGGGACTGTCATAAATTAAGTTTCAATACCAAGTTGATTGGTCTGGGACTTTTCTAATGTTGTATTATTATTATTATTATTATTATTATTATTGCTATTTATGGTTGATTTAATGGACTTACTTTTAAACAGCTGGAAGATAGGAATCATAAAACCATGTTTGTCACAAACCTTGCTGCACCAGTGCCTTATAAGCAGTTTTTCTTAAATAGCACTTTGATTCCTGCCACCTTTCCTATAGGAAGCAATACTGAAACTTCCTCAGATTGCTTTTGCAAACAAGAGCTGTATTTCACATACAGCCAGCTGTACTCTGAGGGCAGTTAACTCTAGCAAGATAAAGGATATACATCAATCACCTGAACGCTTCCAAATAAGAACTGGATCAGCATTTTCTCTTGCAACTGAAGTGTCTCATTTAACTCAGACATTCAGATCTAGTCTTCCGAAATATGTAGGAGCCCAATTAGCTGTGAAATTGCAATGTTACAGATACAAGATGTTGGACTTGCTGAAATTGTAAAAGACCAGAGCCGCCTTTGCAGTTCCTGGGGAATGCAGAAAGAAGAGATGACTACATAATTAACTGTGAAACAGCGAAGTCTCTCTCCAGCCACAGTTGTCCAGGCAGACTTCAGTCTGTATTGTCTGTTGGACAGGATCTCTGTGCTTGGCAGGAGTACAAAGGACATTAAATATTTACCTAGGATGAAATTCACCCCTGTTTAAGGGGGTTTAAAAGGTGCTCAGTTGGATTATTATTAACTTGGTTTTGCTCATATGGAAAATGAGTGCCACAAGCAGCCTCTTAGAGCTTGAACACCGGGCTGACTTTTTGTAACTAAAATTAAACTGGCATAGGACAAGCGGCACCGCAGTTGTGGTGTAATCCAGGGGAATGGGAAGCTGAATTGGATGCCTCTCCGTTCTTCCGTGTCTTTGCACTGCTTTTGTCTGTTCATTTGTGTTTAACTGGTTTGTTTACTAAGCTCTTTGCTTTTTTTTTTTCCCCTTAATTTTAAGGTGTTGAAGAGCAAGGGGACATTTGAAAGGAGATGTTATTTAATGGTTTATTTTTTTGCATTAGATACATATTTAGGCATATTTTTGCATTATTGTACATACATTTTAAAATACTTGGGATTTTCTAAAGTGTTTTGTGATGTGGGCACATGTTTTAACAGACAATTATTAAATATACTTGATGTAAAGCCATAATTGCTGTCCTGTTACTTTTTTTTACCATGTTCCTCTTCTGACAATAAAAGTGCTCTGGTTTAACAAGGTGGTACCAACTTGGGATTTTGTGCAGGTAGTTGGTAGTCTAATTAATGCTAATACTGCTCCTGACTTTTCCCCAGCTTAAGATCTGAATATGCAGGGAGACATTTCTCTGATGCCATTTCCCCATTACTGGAGCTTATTCCCAACTTCTGTTGACATTATTTGTCCTTAAATAGAAAAGTAGCAGGGCAGCATTTTCATTGCTTATCACTCACTGGCTGCTCATGAACTCTAAAATCCAGAACAAGTCATAGAAAATACATTAATTATGTGTGAGTAAAATATGTGACTCTTAAGAGGATAAGACAACACCAGACTATATTGATTTGAATAGCCAATTTAATTATGGGTTAGATACAAGGAGAAAACTTCATTCAGATAATCAATTTCTGCTCTGCTCTGTATTTGTACCCTAGGTCATGTTTCCCTACTATCTTTCCCCGAGGGATTTTCCCCTCCTTGTTTGATGGTAACCAAATCAACACATTTTCACACAATTATACCACTTTTAGACTACATTTGGCCATCCTTTACATCCCCTGAGAATCCTCGTACCAAGGGTGACCAACTTGTTCATGGGGTGTTGGATCTGTGCATCCCACACCCAGACTGCAGCATCTGGCTGGTGAGTTAACGCAGTGGCCTGCAGCTCACTCATGGGTATAAGCACATGTGTAACCAGCCCGTCCCTTCCCTGCCACTTGTCCTGAGCAGCCCCTGGCATATCCTACCAAAGAAGCACTGCAGCATCTCCACCCTTCCCACAGCTCTCCTAGGTACATAGAGCTTGCTTGGTGAAGGTGAACCATGTTAAGGAATAGTAAACATTGCCTATCTGTTCCTATTAAATGGTACATTTGTTCGCTATTTGTAGCAACTTTTACTCAGGTGGAAATTGGAGTCCAAATCATAGAATCACAGAATGGTTTGTGTTGGAAAGGGCCTTAAGATCATCCAGTTCCAACACCCTGTCATGGGCAGCGACACCTCACACTAGACTATGTTGCCCAAGGCTCTGTCCAACCTGGCCTTGAACACTGACAGGGATTTAGCTCTTCTCTGGGCACCCTGTGCCAGCGCCTCAGCACCCTCACAGGGAAAAACATTCTCCAACCTGAATTTTCTCTCTTTCAGTTTGAACCCATCACCCCTTGTCCTGTCGCTACAGTCCCTGATGAAGAGTCCATCTCCGGCATCCTTGTAGCCCCCTTCAGACACTGGAAGCTGCTCTGAGGTCTCCACGCAGCTTCTCTTCTCCAGGCTGAACATCCCCAATGTTCTCAGCCTGTCTTCATAAGGGGGGTGCTCCAGCCCCTGGTCATCCTTGTGGCCTCCTCTGGACTTGCTCCAACAGCTCCATGTCCTTCTTATGCTGAGGACACCAGCCCTGCACACAGTGCTGCAAGTGGGGTCTCACCAGAGCAGAGCAGAGGGGCAGGATCACCTCCCTCGACCTGCTTGCTGCTCATGCTGCTTTTGATGCAGCCCAGCACACAGTCGGATTTCTGGGCTCAAGCACACACTGACGCGGTTCATGTTCAGATTCTCATCAAGCAACACCCTCAAGTCCTCTTCCGCAGGGCTGCTCTGAATCACTTCTCTGCCCAACCGGTAGCTGTGCCTGGGATTGCCCCAATTGAATAATGATAATAATTAAAAAAGTTCAGCAAGCCATATATGTCTTTATTTTATTTTATTTAGAAACTGAAAGAATGTAGCCTGGAGTTACTTGTAATGGAGAGCACTTCTTTTAAATCATTTCCCATGTTTCATTGTTCAGTGTGCTACGTGCTTCTTGCTACTAGCCCCTGAGTCAGAGAGATCCCATGGAGAACACAGCTACCCAGCAATGGGCATCCTGATGGCATTGAAGGCATCTGGTGGCAACTCTGAGGCTGTTCGTGTTTAGCTCCTAACATTGAAGGATGACATCTTGATTCTACCTGGTTATTTACAGTTTTTAATGCACACACAAATAACATGTAATATCAAGGGAAAAAGAGCATTGCTGATGCTTGCCTTAAAAACAAAAGCTGGGATTCTGGGGAATCATAGGGATGGACATGAATTTAAAGTAGTGGATTATTATGTATCTCACTTTCCCAAACCCTGTTCTCAGAAGGTAAGCTCATTAATGACCTAATAGTTTGTTAGTTAGCTGATAACTACCTCTGTTTATGTGTGAAGGGTGGGTATATAAGTTGCAAGGTATCTCTTTAGCTATTTCTTCCCGTTGCCACTGCTTACACCCCCTTCCTTTCTTTCTTGTGTAATTCCATTATTTCTAGCACATGTATGCTTTCTGCCGTCAAAGTCCTGCAGGAAGGGGGTGGCTGTTGAATGCAATGTACACATGCGTGACCCTTGCTGTAAACTTACTGCGAATTGCAAAGACCTTGTGCATGGACCCATCTTGTTCTCCCTCCTTGGCTTTGTCTTTATTGTGACTAAACAGTATTCCTTTGGACAACAGGGAAAGAAAGGGCAAGGTGTGAGAGGGTGAAAGACCCCAAGCTGCTGCCACATACACTGAGGATGCTCTGTTGTGAAGCCATGGCCTAAGCTAGCCTGACTTGATGCACCATTGTAAATAAAATACACGATTTGCTGCTACCAATGCCCTGTGGCTGGGAGGAGAAAGGAATGGAGATTGGATAAAAAAGGAGTTAAAAGTATCTTGCTAAAGGGATTAGTGCAAGAGATTTGGTGAGATGTTTGCCCCTGCTAAGTTTCATTTAGCTCTGCCCGTGAGTTTCTGTGTGCTGTGCATGGTGGGCATACCCACGTCTCTCTACTTCTTGTGTTCTAAAAATGGCACTGACAAACTAAATGAAGCGATTGATGGGATAACTTGGAAGGAATCATATGAATTTGACTTGAAATCCCACAGAATCCGTAGGTTCTCATACAGCTGTGATTTTAATTTTCCTGAACATTTGTAAAAACAGGGCTTTCTGAAGGGTAGAGTGTTAAAATGCACTAAATATCATTCCTCAAGGTTTTACATGACAATGTTGACCTGCGTTTCTTCCCAGACTAGCTCGTGTTGTTGTAGGAGCCTGTGTGAAAACCTGAGGCACACTTGTATAGGCCCTGCTCAGAAGGAAATGTTCCCTGTGTGTTGCAAGTAAGATGTAACTGTCCACTTCTTTGCAACCCCAGGCAGCCTGTAAGTTCTGTTATCACCCCTTTGCATTTTGGGAGTTGTCTTTTTGCTACTTAGCTCTGATACTTCCTTAATGTTTTCCTACTGCCAGACATAATCACTAAGAAAAATTAATGAGCATCTGCTCAGGAAAATAGGTATCAAATACTTCAGTGGGCAGCATGGGTTTTACTCCAGTGCTCCAAGTAAGTTCTGGGAACGTGACACTCTGCTAGGAACGCAGAGCCTGCAATAAGAGACCTGGATGCTCATCGCATGTAACAAAGGTGGCAAAAACTTGGTAAGTATATGGGACATGTACCAAAGTTTTCAGTTACATGATAGCCACAGGCTATGCCCTCTGTGTATGGGGAGGCTGAATGGGAGGAGAGGTTTGGGACTGCTTTGCATGGAGGAAATGACAGCAGGGCCATTGATGGGACTGAGGTGGTGGGGACACGAAGGTGAGTGTCCATCAGTGATGCCAGCCACAGGGCCCCGTCAGCTGGATCACACAGAAACCATGGCAT